TCATAATAACGTGTTAATCCGGGTTTCAACCTTCACCGCTCTATCAATGATGATTTCATCATTTTTTTTTCGTTACCTCCAAATGGTCGTCTGCTTAAATAATATTTTCATGTTAAGGACCCAGCTCAAACTTACTTACTTACTTACGCCTGTTACCCCCAATGGAGCATAGGCCGCCCACCAGTTTTCTCCAACCCAGCTCAAACTGTTTGCCGCTAAATCTTTAATCTCCTCGAGTTGTATGCTTCCAAAATTCTTTACTTCATCATAAAGTATCATTACATTCTATTGAGAATTCCTAATATCTTTTTATAGCCGTTGGTTCTAAGAATAGACTGGCTAAATTATCATACCACATCATTCGATGCCAATGTAATGAGATATAATTTTACTCTACTGTTTTGAAAACTAGATGGCTCCGTGCAATTCATACTTCCAAGCTAATCGGAATAAAATAGATTACTTATTTTTTTAATCTTTAGTTTTCATAGATAGTGTTTTAGTCATATTCACTTGATCAATGACTTTTATCTATAATTGATCTAACAATGTTTTTCCCGTCCTAGAGCACTAGACTGTGTAAAGATACAGTTACACTAGTCGCATACTGATTCAAGCAGACATAAAATTCAGTAGGAATTCGTTCCTTTTTTATTTATAGAAACCCTTAACTAAACCAAACACTAACCGGTTGAATAATTAGTAGTTTCATGCTATAGATCTGGAATTCCACTGAAATATTTCTATAATGTTATTTTGCCGAAGTTACACAGAACAATACGATAAAAACTACCAGTGATCATCCATAAGTACATTTTTACGTAATGAATTAGTCAGTTACGTATTGATCTGTTAAACAAATGGGTTTTTGTAGTTCAAATGGTGTGTTTCAAGATTACGTAAATCAATTGAAAACTTTGAAAGATTCACAAACTACGTAAGATCATCAAACATTGAAATTCCACCATGTTTTTAGCTACAGATTGTTGATTTTGGTTATCTATGTGCTCTTTGGCTTGTCAGCGCAGTAGTTCGCTCCGTCTTACTTTATGGCTGTGAAACGTGGCCAATGAGAGTAGATATTAGTAGGTTACTGGTTTTCGATCATAGGTGTCTTCGAAGCATTGCTCGAGTATCGTGGGACTCCCAAGTAAGCAATGCTGTTGTTAGAAAACGGGTGCTAGGTAAGAATGGCAGATCAATAGATGAAGTGGTGAAACTTCATCAGTTGAGGTGGTTGGGACATGTGTTGCGTATGTCCAACCACCGACTGCCTCGTCGAGCTTTGTTTTGTAGTGTAGGAGTAGGTTGGAAGAAAGTTAGGGGCGGTCAAACCAAAACATGGCAGAAATCCATGAAGTCATTGACGAATGGACTTAGCCATGTCGGTGATTGTCGACTACCTGGTTGGGGGGGGGTCCGCGAGATGATAATAATCGATGGTTAGAGTCCTTGAATGACAAGGCTAAAAATCGTTCGCAATGGCGCCGGTGCATTTATTCTTTGTGTTCTCTCAAATCCTAATCTTCTCTGTTCTTCAATAACTCTAGTTTTGACTTTCTAACTTTTCTCGTTAAATCATACTTCTTGAATAATATTTTCTCATCATAACCTCTCGGATTACTTCTAATACCTTTACTACCTCTTCTACTATTGGATTTGAATTGACAATTACATCTGTGTGCTAATGTGGCGCGGCGACATGAACTGATGTACTTACGTACGAAGTTCTATGTTGCAACTGACTGACTGACTGACTGACTTTGGCTTGTCAGAAAGATGTTCAACTTCGATAATATAGTGTAGTTTTACCGACATTTTTGTAAGACTATGAGCTTCCATGCTGTTGAAGCTTTGTTTTAAATAAGACGATAAAAGTATTTATCATTTGCCTGAATCAAGACATATACTTTATGTTCTTAAACACATGCTACTAGTTTTATTTAAGTAGTGTAACCCCCAAGTGGTTACTTAAATCAAATTATCAAGAACAGTCAAATAAATTTCGGTAAATCATTCATCATAGCTACTACATTATTTCAACCACCATTGTTATTCTTGTTAATTTCATGTAGTTCTGTTGAGGTTATTGAAAATTTCGGCCGACTCGCGTCTGCCCAACCCAGCGTTAATCTTGACAGACTGACTGACTTACTGATCCTCTTTTTTGTGCCTTAAGAGTTGATAATTCCCCTTGATTTTATTTTACTTCAGTTAATAGAGCCTTTTGACTAGTTCATTTATGAATGCAATAATTACACGATATATAACGTTATGATTCTATATAATTGGGGATACTATTTACCCAAATACAAACGGATTATAGTTTCGCATATCGATTTTTAGGTGACTTTCACTCTCAATGCGCTATCTTTTAATGATTATTTCAATGCAACTGTTTTGTATTCAGTGGTAATTAATCACTCAATGAAATTACGTAATTAGTAATCATTACGTTGGATTTAAATATAACCTTCTTTGTTCTCGTGCCATTAATCTTAACAAGATTGGTATTGTTTTTTTTGGAATAGCCAGTAGGTTAAAAGAGTAAGTAGAACTGTTATATTATGTATGGTATTACTGTTACCGTTAGAATAATCACTGCATATTTCGTTATATAACAATTTTTTCTTTTACTTAGTGCATTAAAATAGCTCAAACTAGGATATTGATACCGAGTCCTTGGACAGTAGGCCAATTGGTAGATATGGTTAAGTTTAAGTTGCTTAGGCATTGATTTCAGGACTTACAATTTGATGAATGTATTGATTTCCTTCAGCCTACTGTAATGTCTTATGTTCTACAATTTCCTCTACATATTTTCAACTTCATCACATATCCTCATAAAGGTAATTGTCACTCGCTTCGATTTTTTTTTGGATATGGATCTCTTATCTAAAAATCTTCATAACTAAGATTATTTGACCAATGTGTTACTCTAACACCACCTACTTGGGATCACTCACTTGGAAATTAACTTTAACTCAATCAGCTACAATGTAGAACTTCGTACATAGTACGTACACCAGTGTTCAAGTTGCTATACACCGTCGTTAGCAGATGGAAGGATCGAATTGTCAATTCAAATCCTGTAATGGTAGGAGGTAGTAAAAGTATTAGCGATAATCAAAAAGATTAGTGGAAACAAAGTCTATCCCAGAGGAATCAATTTAAAAAAAAAGCAAGTGAGAAGAACGGTCATGAGAAATTTTAGAAGATAACAATTTGAGAGAACACAAAAAATGGATGCACCTGTGTCATTGTGACAAATTTTTATTCAATGTCATTCACATATCTCTAATTATCGGTTACTATTATCTCGCGGTCCCCAACCAGGAAGTCGACACCTACACCAACATGCCCAGTCTAATAGTTGTCAGTAGTGACTTTACGGATTTGTGCCATATTTTGGTCTGTATGTACACCTCATATAGGTTGTATTCAGAAGTTATCTCTATACTACTTATTTCTAAATCTTTTAGTTACTTTAGTGTGCGAACAATATTCATTTTCCTGAGTGTTTTAACTGTTGTTTTTTGTTTCCAGCGGTTTTTTTTGTCATTTCTTTGAATCTTTCTTTACCTGTGTTGTTGTTGCTTTTACTTCTTAGGCGATGTGTGCGTATGTGTAATAATTTATGTCTATTTATATCAGAGATTGTTGGTGAAATTTTGATTTTTTTTTCGAAAAAAGTCACATTTTTTAATTTATCTGTGAATTTGTTTAGTAACCTTTTTTTTTGGTAAGCTCATACATCCATACATGCTGTTTGTATGTTAGTAGAGAAAAAAAAATTACATACATTTCAATAAACTACTTACTTACTTACTTACATTGATAGATATTTTTTTTCAAAATGTTCATTTACAGGGAGATTTTATTGTTTTATCTCGAATGGTAGTTCATTTTTTACAAGATTTTGGATCAGATCATTCACTGATTTTATTTTATTTATTAATTTTTAAAGAAAAAAAAAATTTTTTTTTAAATACTTCGATCCAGTTTTATTGGTTGGTCTCTTTGCACAACACATCTCATCATCATTATCATCAGTGTTCTTGTTTCTAGAAACGAAACTATTTAAAATTGATGAGCGTGCTTGTGTTCATGTTGTGCTTTTATGTGTTTTATGATGTTCACCATATATATATATATATATATGTATATATATATATATATATATATATATATATATATATATATATACATATATATATATATTATAAGTATTATCAACGTTAGGGTGGCCACTGATTTTTTAATGGACAACTTAGCACAATCTATATTGTTTGTGCGTGCGTGCGTGCCTATGAGCACGCATGTTAAATGCTCTGTATATGAGGTGCGCGCGCGCGCACGTACGCACGCATTCTATAGAAAATGTACACATACATATACAGCCAAGCAAAATAATGATTGCTCAATGCCTAATAATACCAATAATCATCATCGTTATAATAATAATAATAATCATAATCATAATAATACTAATACTAATATTCAATACTATGTTTGGATAGACACACACAACTAAGCTTGCTCATATTCTCTCTCATAGTAGTAGTTTGTTGAATAATAATAATGACATTTTATTGCTTACTTCATGCGTATGTGGATCACAACATATTGACATATTGGGCATCATTATGTATATATATATATATATATATACAGATATATATATGTATATATATTATGCCGTTTTAATTGGAGAACAGATCGAAATTATCACAATGTATTGCATTGCATTGTATTGTATTAATGTGACTTTGAAAAGTTTTTGAGTGTTGTTATGCTCGGTTGTTTTTGAAAAAAAAAAAGACAAAACACGGATATTTTAATGTCATGAGAGAACAGTACAATCAAAAACATCTAACAAACATTTCGCATGTATATGATGTACAATTTTCTTGTTCCCGGATGGTCGAATGAAATTTGTATATATTTCTATATAACTTCATTTGAAATATTTCTCATTGAATTCTACTAATCGAATAATAATGACACAACCAAAACCTTCAGATAATAATGATAATAATAACACTAGTAGTGGTGATGTTCAAATCAATTCTTCGATAACACAAAATCTTACTACAGATTTTGATATAAATGATAATTTATACTTATCAGCACCGGAAGAAGAACAATTATCAGATCAAAAGTGTGACTACTTGTCTGCACATTTTTCCGATCATCATGATTCAACGTCTCAAATGAAATCAATTCATGAACAACCACCATCTGTTGCCTCTCCTTTGTCATCATCCTCACCGCTACCGACACTTGAACGTCAGCTGAGTAAACAATGTGTAAGAGAGAGGAAATCAGATATAGATACTAATAAAAATGCATCATCACCTATTCATTTCGGATCATCATTCAGTAGTACTACTACTAGTAGTAGTAGTAGTAGTAGTTCATCCACATTGGTTAATAACAATCAACTACATTGTATACCTACAAATGTTCTACATTCAACTACTGTGACAACAAATGTTACAACTATCACATCGGTTCGACGTCCTCGTCATAAACCTGCGGAACGACGTGAATTATTGGAATTGGCTGTAAATGATGTATTAGGTTCTCAAATATCAATGCGACGTGCTGCACAAAAATATAATTTAGCTAAATCATCTTTGTGTGATTATGTTCGTAAAAATGGAATTATCTTGCCAAATTTACGTTTTAAATCTTATCAAACTATTCCCAGATCAACAACCTCTGATTTGAGCGGTGTATCAAACAGAAAAGTTACTTTATCAACAAATACAAATCGGCAAACTTCAGTATCATGTAAACGCAGCGGTTCACCAATAACAGCTGATGATAATTGTATATCATCTATACGACCTTTACCAACAAAATTATCCTGTGGTGTTACTCGTAAAGTGAATATTACTGGAGCAAAAAACATCGATAATAATAATAATAATAATAAACAGCACTCGAAAATATCTACACGGCCAATAATTCAAATGAACAATTTATCCAGTGGACTGGATAATGACATAGCTGTTTCATTAGTTAGTAGTACTTGTGACTTAAATTGTATACGTCCACTTTTATCATCTGACAGGACTGGTATTGATTCTTGTCCAAGTGAAATTTGTTTGCCGAATCAACATGAGAAGACAAGTAATCAAAGCAATATGTTTAATATGTCCAATCTAACTAAATGTTTCACTAATGTTATCTCTTGTAAATCAAGTCGTGTTGAAAGTCCTTGGTATAATGCTGCTGGATTGCCTACTCAAGTGCCTATGCGTTCATGGACAGGTGGTACTACTACTAATCTATTCAGTGGATCATTACAAAATACCAATCAACTACAACAACAAGAGCAACAAATAAAAACACTAAGAAGTACACCATCATTGGTTGCATCCAACAATTCACCACTATTCAACAACAGCAACAGTCATCATCATTTATCATTCGATAATAATGTAGACGATTCTTCAAGTAATAATCATTGGAGTTTTAATAAAATCAAAACAAATCATTCATCTTCCCAATTGATAAATGCCCCATTTTCGCTAGCAAATAATTACTTGAAAGCTTTAACTGAACATTCAAGTGATTCACATTCATCAAACTATTCATCATTACCTAGTGAAATTAAAACACTTGATGATGATGAATTAAGTAGTCGAAAAAATTTTTTATTATCTGGTAATTGTTGCTGTTCAACTAATTCATCAAATAGTTTAAATATTGGTACAAATTTTCCAATTGATTCTGTAAGTATGTTTCACAATTTAAGTCCCTTTACCTTACCTTAGCTTACCTTAGCTTACCTTACCTGCCTTGAAATATGCGTGTGTGCGTGTGTGTGTTTGTGCGTATCAATCTTTTTTTTTCTAAATTTTTTCCGGTAGTCAGAAAATCTTGAGACTTATTATGGATGATTTATGTTTTTGTTTTTCTGAAGTTATTATAGTTTATATTCAATGTATATATATATGAATATTTTTATGCTTTTTATTTTAACTAGCCTATTTCTCAATTATCATTGGATTATGATCGTCGTATTAGTTTAAACGAAGAATCTACCAGACCGTGGATTTTTAATCATTCACATCGAACTATTAACGGTTTATCAGATACGGAACAGTCAAGATCAATTCTTGACAGTACACAATCACTTCGTAGTACATACGAATCATCCTCGTCTACAGGTGTGTCATATTCACCGCCCACCAGTAGTGTTCCTTTAGATTCATTATCTAGTTCAAGATATTTAACTACTCCATTTAATTTGCCTTTATCGAATTGTCAAATTTTTCCAGACGACATTGTGAAACTCCCTTCCAGAACTACTATTAACCAATCTAGTTCAGATAATTTTGATCCTATTGGTTTACACTCTGAATCCGAGTGTAATAACAATAATACTGATAGCGTTACTACAGATCATTTTGTATCGAATTTTTCTTCCTCTACGACTACTACTACCACTACTACTACTACTTCTACTACTACACCATCTACATTGTGTTCATTTCTTGGCCTTAATTCTATCAATCATATTAATTCGCATTTTTGTCAACCTTCGGCTTCAGTATTTCAATCCAATTTATTACCTGTTAATCAAGCCGCTGTAGCTGCCTTACTATTGCAATACTCACGAGCTGCAGCAGCTGCCTATTCCACAACTCAAACACTACCTATCAATTCGTCTACTATTCCAAATTATACACATTGTCCTGTGATTACTTCACCGCAAACCTCTTCACAACTTCATCAACCTCAACAACATCATCCAATTGATATTTTACAAAATTCACCTGATTATTCAAATCAACTACCGAAATCATTTACACCAACCAGCCAATCTATCCCGTCAATAGCAGCGGCAGCAGCAGCTCATTTACCTTTTTCATCAAAAAATCATCATTACATTAATTCGGAACTTGTAAATTCATTGAATTTTTGTGATCAACAAATTAATTTATTAAAACAACTACCAAAATATCTTATTGAATCTATTACTGGAACAACAGCAGCCACAGCCGCCGCCGCAACAGCTGCATCATCATCAGCGTCGGCATCGCCACCACCGCCTCCACCACTGTCACAATCACTGCTGCCACCAACGGAACTAGTGATCCCACCGTATTTAACAAATCAATCTGCTGCTTATTCGTTGGTAAGTTGATTGTATTATCAATATCTTATTAAAAGGTTTTTCTATTTACATTGGTCTCGTATTCTGAAGTGAAATCATGTATCGACCGATGTAAGACTACCATTGGGAATATAAAAGCGGCTGTTTCGTCCTAGTATGGCACTCAATCAACAGTACGTGCACCCACAGCCCCTCAATGAAAAATCGAGACTACGCGTTTCATTCACGAACGGCTAACCTCTAGAGCACTACTACTGACACACGTCATCCAATGTGTGTCAATCAATGCACAATTTTGTATTCTTTCACTTGTTTTATCCTCTATATTCGGTAATATTTTTTCACTGAAAAAAACAGTAATATTCGTAGTATGTTTTCAGCAGACTAATTGAGTTTAATTACTGTCGATTATTGCTTCAAATATGGATAAGACTATAACGAAATATATTGTTAGGAAATGGTGTCTCTCTCTCTCTCTATAAACATAAACGAGGAGTTTAATGAAAAGAAGAATAGATAGTCAGTAGTGCCTAGCAGTGCAATCCAATATATATGCTTTCTCGCGATGTATTTAGGACTCAGTAATAAAGTACCGGATATGTCAGCTTAATACATGCTGCACCAAGCTACAGACAAGTTCCAACCAAAAAAACGAAACACACATCCCAGATCCCATCATTAGTTAGTCACCATTCATCTATGCTTATCATATTGAGGTGGCGGCCAAACCAAAACATGGCAGAAATCCATGAAGTCATTGACTAGTGGACTGAGCCATGTCGGTAATTGTCGACTACCTGGTTGGGGTCCGCGAGATGATAATAATCGATGGTTAGAGACCTTGAATGACATGGCTCAAAATCGTTTGCAATGGCGCCGGTGCATTTATTCCTTGTGTTCTCTCAAATCCTAATCTTCTGGATTCTTCAACACCTCTAGTTTCGACTCTCTAAACTTTTCTCACTGAATCATACTTCTTGAATAGTATCTTCTAATCCTAACCTCTCCGATTACTCCTAATACCGTTACTACCTCTTCTACTATTGGATTTGAATTGACGATTACTTCTCTGTGCTGATGTGGTATGGCAACATGAACTTATGTACAAAGTTCTACGTTGCATCTGACTGACTGACTGATATTGAGGTAATAATCTCCACACGATACAACATTTTATGTAACCATTGTTACACGTACTTAACAATCAAGAATAGGTAGAAAGCTTCATAAAATTAAAAAAACACAATATTAATATCAATACAATTTGGTCGGTTGTTTGGTTGGTTGGTTGGTTATTTCGGATGTTTACTTTGATATCACCTTTGATGATGTTAATATCATGTGTTTTTCATTCAAATCATAACTATAAACAATTCATAGAAACATTTTCAATTTGAAACGTGTATGTGTGTACACCCTACAAAACATTTCTTTCTATTCATCACATTGAAAAAACAATGCATACATATATATATTACTGCCCGACCGAAGCTGCTACCTTGACGTGGTGGTCGGGCTTGCCTATCGTGATGACCCAACCGAGCTATATTGGTTGGAACACATGTTCCTGCAGGTCCTACCATGCCAGGCAGGTTGATTGGAGAACGATGAGACTAAAAGCAGCAGCTACTCAAGGTCTGAGGGCGAAGTCGTACTGCTGACTGTGATGGAGGAGTGTGACAGCAGTAAGGTGTTTCCCTCGGACAACCAGCATCTGCAGCGATGCTGCCTTCTGACAAGGAAGGAAGGGTTAGAAAAGGTCGGCCCTAAAAATGTCACACCCCACCCTACCTCACGGATTTCCGTCTCCTTGGGTAAGGGTGCCCACTAAGGGCAAATTTAGTAGTGTAACATTCATTAGTCATTAGTGGTGGTGATTGTTTGGTTTTTTTTACTTTTGAGAAAGTAAGATTAACAAATTTTGTAGTGTAGTAGTGTACCGTGTTCTTTTTCTATCGATGTATTTATTTATTATTCGATAGACAGGATCTTTATTACAACTCAGCTATTTCCTAATGTTTAGTATTCTCGGACACCAATTCACTCGAGACGATCTGCCCAAAATCAGACCACGATTGAACAGAGATTATATTCTAAACAACAAGGTTAGAATGAAAGATAAAAGGTTCCCAAGGAAAAAAAAGACACGTTAGTATATTTAGAGTTTTCTTACATGAGAAGATTCTAGAATGTTCTCTCAGTATTGACTAGCGCTGATTGGATACGAAAGAGCCAATCAGCGTGCAACACAAACGCAATCATGCTTTTAGTTCAATCTTATGTCCCATTCACACTTTATTATGAGATTGTATACAATAGTTTAAAGTCTCATTCTAGATTAGATTTTTTCTTAGGGATATATTCAGACATTGTTTTAGGTAGCAATATCCTCTTTGTTCTTCCAGCGTACATGGTACTGCATGTACACGTTTGCCAGTAACTAGAGGAGAAACCGATCATTCAAGTTAAATTTTCCCAACAGTCTCTTTATTTCATACATGATTGACTGTTATAAGTATGTTAATCAGGTAGAAGTCAATACAGTAATGATGTGGCTCTTAGTCTGAACGTTTAGTTTATGCTTTAAGATCATTCCTATGTAAATGAGAGTTGGATAAACATATTCTTCTTAGGGACAGTAGTAGTGGGTTTGTGCGACATCTGATTTTCCAAATTCCAGAAAAGTATCAGTGATTGCATAACTTCATGTGTTGCTTATTTTAAGCATCTGCGTATCGATAGATAATTTTTTCCTCATGATTTTAATCAACTAGGATAAGCCATTAGTCAAGCTTATGTTTATAGATTTTATTCGTTGATAAAATGCAAAAGTATTCGCTTCATGAGTCTTGGATAGACATCTAGATAGATAGATAGTTAGATAGACAACCTTAGTTTGTAGGGGCCAATTGCCAATATATATATATATATATTCGAGAGTTCACATATTAAGAGATGTGTCTCTAAAATCACACTATTAAACAAACTCTCAGTTCAATTGACTGAAACGGTCATTATAACCCTAGGCTAAGAAATATTTTGAACTATGTCCAACTAATGTCTAGTCAACATGTTGTTGTACCATATCTCAATATCAATCGCAGTAAAATATTATAACAGATACCCGTTGAATATCATCTTCCGTGAATGAAGTTCTGGTGTAGTGAATTACTTCTATGATTCTCTCCACTTTATTATTTATATTCAGAGATTGTCATATATATTTTCTGAATGAATTTTCCAATCGAAAGTTTTAATTATTGACATTTATAAATCATTGATCCTGAGTTGTTCTTTTTTTTTCTGTAATCATAATTCATGGAATGTTTTTTCTTGTGAAGATGATCATAAGATGATATCTATTTTGTATGAAATATAACTCATAAGCTCCTATTCCGTTTGGAACTTATCAATGCTTGAGCATGACTACCTTCTCATCTCAGCAGAGTTAATTGAATGACTCATAGGATTCGAAATGAATGTTCAGTCCATTAGAATTCATAATGTGCAGTATTTATTATTATTATTATTATTATTATTATTATTTTTCGAGTAAGCAATGCTGTTGTTAAGAAAACGGTCCTAGGTAAGGCTGGCAGATCAATAATAGATAAAGTAGTGAGATTTCATCAGTTGAAGTAATTGGGACATGTATTACAAATGTCCAACTGCTGACTACGTTGACGAGCGATGACGCCTGGTGTGTACGGTTAGGCTAGGAGAAAGCTAGGGGCGCACGAACCAAAAACATGGCACGAATCCATGATGTTACTGACAACTGAACTTGAGCCATATTGGTAGATGTAGACTACCTGTTTGGGATCCACGAGATGATAGTAATTCGATGGTTAAAGACCTTGAACTACATGGCTCAGATGTCAGTCAGTCAGTCAGTTGCAACGTAGAACTTCGTACGTATGTACATAAGTTCATGTTGCCATACCACATTATTAGCACAGAGATGCAAATGTCAAATCAAATCCCATAGTGATAAAGATGGTAGGGGTATTAATGTTATAATAAAGAAGACTAGGGTTTAAGATATTATTCAAAAAAAAAAAAAAAAATTTATAATTCAGTGAGATAAGGTTAGAAAGACAAAGGTAGAAGAGCTGACGAATCCAGAAGATTAGGATTTGAGAGAGCTCAAGGAGTGGATGCACCTGCGCCATTGCAAACGATTTTGAGCCATGTAGTTCAAGGTCTCTAACCATTGATGACTTTCGTCTCGCGGACCCCAACCAGGTAGTTTACATCTACCAACATGACTCAGTCCACTTGTCAGTGACTTCATGGATTTCTGCCATGTTTTGGTCTGGCCGCCCCTAGCTTTCTTCCAACCTACTCCTACACCACAAAACATAGCTCGTCGAGGCAGTCGGTGGTTAGGCATACGTAACACATGTCCCAACCACCTCAACTGATGAAGTTTCATCACTTCATCGATTGATCTGCCATCCTTACCTAGTACTCGTTTCCTAACGACAGCATTGCTTACTCGGCTGTCCCACGATATACGAGCAATGCTTCTTAAACATCTATGATCGAATACTAGTAACCTACGAACATCTTCTACTCTTAACGGCCATGTTTCACAGCCATATAAGAGAACGGAACGAACTGCTGCGCAGTACACCCGCCCTTTGGTTAGCGAACGGATATCACGCCTACGCCATAAGTGACGCAGGTTGGCAAAAGCCAATCGAGCTTTCTGTATCCGAGCTGAGATTTCGTCAGTCACCAGACCGTCAGCACTGATGAGACTCCCCAGATAAGTGAAGTGATCAACACGCTCGACTACTTCACTTCCTATCACTAGTTCAGGTGCCGAAGCAACCCAGTCTTGAAGCAACATTTTGCATTTCGAGGGGGAAAACCGCATCCCGAACATGCTCGCATTGTTGCTTATGGTAGTCAGAAGACTCTGCATTTTGTCAGCGTCTTCACCGAATAGAACTATGTCATCGGCATATTCTAGATCAGTAAGCGACTTTCCAGGTAGAAGGTCAACCCCTGAAAAATCTGATGGCTCAGATGTATTCATTATTTACCTTCTGAATCATCAACAACCTCTTCTTGTATTTATTTCACACGAAATATACTTGTCGGATCATTATATTTTTTCGATTCCTAATCTTTTTGATTAACGCTAATACTTCTACTACCTCTGACTATTATAGGATTTGAGTAGACAATTCAATTTTTGTGTGCTGCTAATGCGGTTCGACAATTTGAACTGATGTATGTGCGTACAAAGTTCTACGTTGTATCTGACTGACTGACTGATTATTGTTTAAACACGTAAACATTTTGTACAGTGGGACACCTAAATATTTATGCGTCACACAAACTATTGAATTTACTGAGTGAGTGGATTAGGCTCAGACACCCGAACCAAACCCGGTGGTTTTCCGACCTATCTATCTGTCTGTGGTGCGCGCTACTTATAAGTAGTATATGACGTGAGTGTAAACGTAATGTCTGGCAGCAGAAGATGCGGGGTAAGGAAGAGTGGGGGGGGGGAACACAATGGAATTTGTATGAAACGCATGAATGGTGAGTGAAATGTCAGACAATGGACTGAAGATTTGCAAATTAACGGTTACGATATGGTTTTCCTATTTTACTGAGTAATTCTGTAATTTTTTTCGTTAAATACAGTTCGGTTGCCTTCACCTATGTGTTCTCCTTCACTACATATCTATGTATTTTACGCTTCAGTAAGAGTAATTAATATAATCTAAACTTCTAAAAGTTGGGTATTATTGATCATGTTGTTGCAATTCACAAAAAATTCACAATCTCTTGTTATTATGTAACATCAACAAAGAAAAGATGAGAAAACAAGTTTTTGTTTTGAAAAATAAATTTCATTTGTGTCTGTGTGTGTGTGTGCGTTGATTGATTGTTTTTACAAATGTTTGGCATTGATGTTTTTGAGTTACCGTCTTGTTCGGCATGTGTGTATGCATCCTCTGTGTGTGCGTGTGTGTGTGTGCGTGGATCAGCTGTGGACATGTTGTCATTAAGAGTGACCAGCATTCATTCATTTATCCATCCAAGCATTAATAGCTTGTGTGCATGTGTGTGTGTGTGTGTGCATATGTAGCTCTGAGAGAAAGCAACCAGGTGATATTGATTTCCTTTTTCTTACACACGGAAATCATGAATCAATGACCACCATTAGAAAGCTTGACTAATAAGCACTGAAAGATGTCCGGTTTCGTCCTGTTGTGGGACTCATCAGTGAGTGGTAGTACACATATCCACTAGATTGATTTCATCAGTAGCTTTGTTTTTTGGAAATTTAAATTACATTTTACGGCGTAATTTGAAAAACAAATTAAAAAAAAGAAGACGCAACAACAATTGATTGATTACGTGACGAGAATTTTTTTTTTCTGTAAAAAAAAAAGACAATCATCCAACATTATATTTATTATTCATAAACACTTGGTTATTAGTGATAGATAGATAATTCATGTAGGTGTTGGTTTGTTTAATTAAACACATACAAAAATTTGTATAAAAGAAGCATCTACATGTATAATGTATACGTCATAGAAATGATTGAAATTTATGAGAATGAGACCACCTCCATAAGCCTTTCACTACTGATCTAGTCTAAAAAGGTAGTGGAGTGCAATGTAAAAAAAAGGATGCAGCCCACTAGTAGCCGGGGGTTTTGTAACTCTCTCTCTTTCTCTCGTAAGTTAGATTCTATGTACTCATGAACTTGGTTTAAAGCGCGGAGGATATCCACTTGAATTTTGTAGGCTACACTTGTGCCTTGAGAAGTCGGTGAATAGGACTTCTTTGTAAGTGACTATGTGAGGGAGTCGTACTAGGATATTTGGGCGGGGGTTGTGTGTGTGGTTAATTGTACATTTCACTTAATCAGTCTCTAACATTGAACGAATATGAATTCTTAGCGTTGTGCTTTTTATAGTTTGACACTTAGGCATTCAACACTTTGAAATTTTCTCTATAAATAAGAAGTGTCACATTTTGTATCAGTGCAAATTTCATACTGTGGTAGAGATAGTAAAAGTATGAAGATGATTATGTAATTCAGTGAAATAAATCTAGGAAAAGTAAGATTTTATTTATCTTCATTACCCCTAATGTGGTGCGAGCTACTTATAAGTAGTATGTGACGTGAGTGTCAACGTAATGTCTGGCAGCAGAAGATGGGAGAAGATCAAGAAAGGAAGAGTTAGATGAACACAATGGAATTTGTATGAAACGCATGAATAGTGACAATGGATTGATGTTTGGCAACAGGAACAGTCCAGTTCGATATGATGGATCGATAATTTGCAAATGAACGATTTACGATATGGTTTTCCTCTTTTACTGAGTAACTCTGTTGTAATTTTCGTTAAATACTATTCGGTTGCCCCCACCTGTGTTCTCCTTCACTACACTAATACTTCTACTATCTCTATCACTATGAGGTTTGAATTGACAATTGTGTCTCAGTACTAATATGGTATGGCACCCTGAACTGATATACTTACGTACGAAGTTCTACATTGTGACTGATTGACTGACTGACTGAATGAGTGTTACATTTGTGTACTATAGTATTTCAACTCGTTTTTTAAACTTTTAACAGGGTTTTTTAAAATAACCACAGCGTTTTTTAAAATTTTTTTGAAAAAATAAAATAAGAACTACTTTTAATTAAAATCTTCTTTAGCAATCGCTTTTAAACAATTGTGACGTACGTGTCTTGAATAATCTTGTAAATCATCCCTGGTTAATTGATTTACAGAATTTAGTATTAGATTTATAAAAGATTCTTTGGATCCGCTCGCCAGAGATCTTCTTATATACAATGGATTTATAATTTTCGAAAACGCGAATTCGATTGGGTTAAGCATGTAACTATAGGGAGACAAAAACATAACGTTTACTCCCTTTTTATCGAAAAAGTTTTTTGTGATAATTGAGTGATGAATCCTCGCATTATCAAGTATATATAAAAATACAATTCTTAAAAATTGATTTTTGATTGCATTTTTCAATTAGTTGATCAAAAAACTGAATGAACTTATCTGAATTCACCGAATCAACAAATGTTTTAGCAAAGAGAACTTCATTTTCTGTTATAGCCGATATTAAATTTATATTGGTTCCACGCGTTGATGGATATTATAAGTGAAAAAACTTTTTCATTGGAATTCACGGTCTATAGTGCCCAAAAGTTACATTTTTATCTGTGTATAAATACAGATTTTTGGATTTAAAGTCTAAACTGGTGTGGCAGATACCACTCATGATATGTTTTATATATAGTATTTCAACTCGTTTTTTAAACTTTTAACAGGGTTTTTTAAAATAACCACAGCGTTTTTTAAAATAACCGAAAAACTGAATGAACTTATCTGAATTCACCGAATCAACAAATGTTTTAGCAAAGAGAACTTCATTTTCTGTTATAGCCGATATTAAACGTATATTGGTTCCACGCGTGGATGGAACTAGGGCACTTGCCGGTTTTCCTCTTGTAGATCTTTCCAAGGTTCTTCTTAAGTACAAATTAAAAGAAGATTCATCTATAAAAACTTTTATAAATGTATCTTCAATGTTCATAAAATTTTGCGCATAAATTTGGCGTTTGTTTTTACTGGATTCCGAATTTATATTGACCGATGTATATAAGAAATCTTTTTCAAAGTAATCTGAAGTCTACCAATTATCCTTCTTATATATAAATTCAAGAGAAAGGCCTATAGAAAATATGTTTTCTATTTTTTCTCGAATTTCTACCATCGTTATTAATGCGTTTAATTTTATCAATTCTTCAACAAAATTGATCATATCACCGCATATCTTCTTATTTGATGGTTTTCCTGTTTTTTCTCTTCTCAACTTGCGATTCCTTTTTATATATACAACCTTATAATATATATTTGTAGCGGCCTGATATATAGTTTACATCTGTAAGAAATGCCGCATCCTTGACGCTGTATCCATCTTCAATAACTTTTTTTTATATAAGGCTTTTTCTTTTTTCATTCGAAATCAAGTTGTTTTTTCTATTTATTTCTGACATTCTAAGGATTACAAAAAATGTTAAAAAACGCTGTGGTTATTTAAAAAAAACCCTGTTAAAAGTTTAAAAAAACGAGTAGATACGTTTTATTTATTTTTTTCTTTTGCAATTTCCCCTCTTATATACTACAACAGCGACAATTAGCAACTACTTTATTCTGGAGTTCACTTAGTTCTAAAGCTATTGACTTACTGTCAACATTTGGACCGAATCTATTACAACAACACTATCAACAGCAGCAACAACAACAACAGCAACAGCGGACAAATTCGTTCAATTTTTTTAATTATCCATTTATTCCTACTAATTCTACTGTTACATCTACTGCCACTGCCACATTGACGTCGACATCAACGCCGACGCCGACGACGCCGACAACCACAACAACTACGACAACGACAGCAACAGCAACTGTAACTCCAACGTCAATTCCTGTAACAAAAACTGAATTGACCAATTTCCCAGTAAATCTTATCAATACAAATACAAACAATACTGATCAATTGGTGAATTGTCATCGAAATACTACAGAATCTATTCGACTTGTGATTGATCAATCTATTTCATCATCATTATCACCAGTAGTTAATAATTTTGATTTATTAAAAAATCATTTATTTCCAATGTATTCATCACATGCTAACATGTCACATCATGTACAAGGTTTGATTAATTTTATTAATAAATCACCAACACCATTTCATGGTAAGTCATATACTAAGTATATATTTTATTATATCATTGATGTAATTCTTATTTTCCAACTGTAGCTGCTACCTTGATGTAGTTGTCGGGCTTGCCTTTTTGTGTTGACCCAACAGAACTATATTAGCTGGAACATATGTTCCTGTAGGTTGTTCTACCATGCCAGGCAGGTCGATTGGAGAACGATGTGACTAAAAGCAGTAACCCAAGGTCTGAGGGTGCAGTCGTACTGTAGAGAGTTGTGTGGATTAGAAAAGTTTGGTTGATCCTAAAAATTTCACACCTCACTTTACCTTCATGGATTTCTGTCTTCGTCGGTATGGCCTTTTATTAAACAAGAGTGGAGCTACTAACAGTTTCTAAACTTCTCATGAAAAGGCTATATGCTACCGGCCTTAAGCAGTTGTCTCTTAGGCTCAGCAGTCACACTCTAGGACCAATGATAATCTAACTGACTGAATATCTATCTATTATTTAATTTACTTGACTAATAAAAAGTATCATTGTGAAATGGTAAGAACAGATTCTTCTGTTAGGTGATCTACACTATTTTTTCCTGTCCCTCATACCCTTGACAAAAACAACAACATCAAAATAATAAGTTTTAAAACTTCACTACATAAATAAGTTGAATTGTTTTGTGTACTGACTGAAATGGTATTCGTGTTCAAATTTGTCTTTGTATTTCACTGTTTCATCATTTTGAGAATGAATTGATTGAAATGATGATATTCGAAATACCGTGTGGGCTGATAAATAGTACTATCCGTGTGCCCCAAAGTAAAGCAGATAGTTTTCAGTGGACTGCTCCACAAACCTTTCACCAACGTAGTGGAGCAATATTTGATGTTGTGACATAATAACCAGTGATCATCAGAGTCTTGAAGCCAATATGCACCATCAATTTTGAAATGAGGGTTTTCCAACTGTTTGTTCTGTGGGCTGATCCTCTGTTTTTTTTTCAGCACCGGACATTTGTTTTCTTCTCATGCTCAGTTTCGTAAATGACACTTCTGTGACGAGAAGAAAATGAGTATTTTTTTTTCACTGAATGAAGACTTCAAGACCATATGGAACAAATCGTTTATTATTTTTGAAGAAGACACAATTTAGAAGCAAAAATATGTACTACACCTTATCATACAAAACATCCATTAGCAAAACAAGCGTATTCTTGACTGTCTTCTTCCAAATGTCTTTTAATCCCCAAAACATAGATCCGACAATTTTCTCTCCGTCCAACAATTCTGGATGACACTGTTTTATATACACTGCTTACTACTTATTTATAAGACTCGTTGTAAGTAGAGACTTCCTTACTAGTGACTAACTATACTTGCGTGGCCATGTGAGAGAATTCGTAGAGGTAGAGTGAACTGTTCTCATTCTTGCCTTTGCCAGAGCATTTGAAGGCTAGGTGAGATTATTCTGGATTCATATGCAATTTTTTCTAACGGAAAATATAGTGTTCATAAACACTCTTAGTTTTAAACAGTAAAGTTTCATTGTTAAAATCTTCCTATAATCACTGTTGACGTTTTCATAACACCAAAAACTTTATCACTTTTGGGCTGTGAAGTTGACGAACACTTTTATATTGTGGTTTAAAAAATTGTTATTGTAATCTTACGGTGGGATCCTGTCCGTAGCTTGGTGTGGTGGCTGAGCTTGCTTATCGTGATGACCGAACCGAGCTATATTGACTGGAACACATGTTCCTGTAGTCGCTATCATGCCAGACAGGTCGAAGCCACTTAAAGAGCGGAGCTAACACTAAAAACATTTCATAAAATGGCCTTGTGTGACAGGCCTGATGTAGTTGTCCTTTAGGCTCTGCGGTCACGCTCTGAAGTCTCTAAGACCAACACACTAATCTAACTTCCTCTTCATGTTCATCAAGAAACACACTTCCACGGTGTGGGCAGCCGGGAATTGACATCTGCGCTCATACCCTTAACAACACACTAGACCAAATTGGTCACAAGCATATCCGATTGACATAAAGTGGAAAAAATACCTTACTGTTGGATAAGAAGTAGTTTATTAAAATACCAATAGTTCAAGTATAAACCAAAAATGTCATTATTTTCATCATTCATTATACAGAACGCTTAGCTAACAATTTAAACAGAAACACTAAAAAAAAACGCAAAACCATTCAATGTCGTCGTTTCAGTGGTCTAGCGTTCGTAAACGTTCGCTTACGAAACTCTACCTACACCTAGTTTCGATTTCTGCGTTGACGCAAATCTTAGATGCTCACCGCTCCAAAAGTCGCACACACACTAAAATGCTAAGGATTGATTGTCCACAATGCATGCAAGTGATCAGTTCATGATTTCAATCAAAGAAGTAAATTAACCTATTACATACAGTTTAGTACTCAACATTGTTATATGTTTTGGGGCACAGTTTGGGAGGTTTGCATTTTTACACATTTGAAATCATCAATCAATCATTGTTGGACCACTCTATTAGAAACCCGGAAGCACTGGACGGCCGTTTCGTCCTGGTATGGGACTACTCATCAGCGGCAGTGCGCATCCATGATTCCTGCTCCTTGCATTATTCGAACCCAGGACCTTTGGCATTGTAGGCGAACGCCTTACCAGTAGAAGATATTCGTAGGCTACTGGTTTTCGATCATAGGTGTCTTCGAAGCATTGCTCGTATATCGTGGGACACCCGAGTGAGCAACGCTGTTATTAGGAATCGGGTGCTAGGTAAGAATGGCAGATCAATCGATGAAGTATTGAAACTTCACCAGTTGAGGTGGTTGGGACATGTGTTGCGTATGCCTAACCACCGACTGCCTCGTCGAGCCTTGTTTTATAGTGTAGGAGTAGGTTGGAAGAAAGCTAGGGGCGGCCAAATTAAAACGTGGCAGAAATCCATGAAGTCATTTACTAGTGGACTGAGTCATGTCGGTAATTGTCGACTACCTGTTTGGGGTCCGCGAGATGATAATAATCGATGGTTAGAGACCTTGAATGACATGGCTCAAAATCGTTTGCAATGGCGCCGGTTTATTTATTCTCTGTGTTCTCTGAAATCCTAATCTTCTGGATTCTTCAACAACTCTAGTTTCGACTCTCTAAACTCTTCTCACTGAATCATACTTCTTTAATAGTATCTTCTAATCCTAACCTCTCCGATTACTTCTACTACCTTTGCTACCTCTTCTACTATTGGATTTGAATTGACGATTACTTCTCTGTGCTGATGTGGTATGGCAACATGAACGGATGTACTTATGTACAAAGTTCTACGTTGCATCTGACTGACTGACTGCCTTACCATCGGACCACTGATGAGTAGTAGTCCCATACCATGACGAAACGTCCATCATTCAGTGCTTCCAGGTTTCTAATGGTGGTCTAACCACAATGATTGATTGATGATTTCAAATTGTTATATACGTGTTGTCAATTAGCTGAGTTTTGCAACAGTGGATGGATTGTGCGTGCATGTGTGCATGTGTGCGTGCATGCAGATGCGCTCATGCGCGCAACTAATCCGACAGGTTTCGTTTTTCTCAGAAAAAAACTATAGTACTCAATATTTATTCACTAATATTATACTACTCCGACTACTCCGACTACCATATCATGATAATGATTACTGTCATTTAATAATTCATGCAAAATTACACGAAAAAAAAAAGAAATAACATAATTATTACAGTTGATTTCTTCATTTTATTTATTTATTAACAAAACAGGTTTAAACCTGTTGTGTGAATATTGACAATAAAACTATAAATAAATAACTATAATGTTTATCAATCATTAAGTAACGAGTGTGTGTGTATGTGTGCGAGTGCGCTCGCTCGCTTTCTCGCTCAAACAAAAATAACATGTTTGTTTATCTAATAAATACATCATCATATCTAAATGAATAAACACATAAAATGGATAGTTTGTTGTTTTCTCTTCATCTTCATCAAAAAACAATAATCATCATCAGAGTAAATAATTTTTCAACCTTCATTCTCATCCAACCAATTTTTTATTGGTTTCATTACATAATTTATATTAGATTAGATGCGTACACTTTGTTTGTGTATGTATGTGTGCATGTGTGCGCGTGTGTGTATGTGTGTGTATGTGAATGTGTAGATGCACAGATAAAATAAACAGTAAACCATATGATTTTTATCTAGTCCGAATAAGTGAGTACGTAAGTAAGTAAGTAAGTAAGTAAGTAAGTAAGTAAGTAAACTTAGCTACGAACATTCATACAATGTTCAATACTACTAACAATTTGAGCGTAAACTTAATTCACTAAATATTGGAAAAGTGTGGTACAAAGATTGACTAGAGTTTTTGGACGTTCACATTGTTGGATGTTGGCCAATTCAGTAGTAGTAGTAGTAGTAGTAGTAGTAGTAGTAGTAGTAGTAGTAGTAGTAAGCGATTCTGTGGGTAGGGTTCGATTTTTGTGTGAGTAGCAAGAGTTGTGGAATGCACACCGTCGCTGATGATCAGTAGTAGTAGTAGTAGTAGTAGTCCCATACTAATATAAGACAGCGAGCGAAATGGGCGACTTTTAGTGCTTCTTTCAGATCTAACAATGATGCATTGATGATTTCAAGGTGAAACTACGCGATCTTCATAATATTCTAATGTAAAATTAAAAAATGTGCTCACCATCCACTAGCTTCATGAAGTTCTCGGAGTTCTATAGTGAGAAGATATGACCAGTGAGTGGAGTTCAAATGTATAGGGTGTAGGCAGTAACTACCGAAGACAATGGGTGAAGTTGCTTAAAAAGGTTAGATTGATCAGAGTTTCAGACATTAACACTGTTGGATGCCGGTCGGCCGGCCGGCCGGCCGAGTAACCTAGTGGTCATCATCATCATTATTAACAACAACGTGGAACTTTGCACGTAATAAGTACAGCAGCTCAAGTTACCATACCACATTGGCACGGAGATATAATTGTCAACTTAAATTCCATAGTAGTAGAGCTGTGGTGCGAGCTACTTATAAGTAGTAT